CATCAGAGAGAGGACAGATTAGTGTGGGACCAGAGATCAACTGGGAGAGGTCAACCATCTTGCCTCTCCCACAAGACCCGCCCCAACATCTGAGCTGGTCAACATAGAGGTATAGTTGTTATTGTTATTTATAGGGATAGTCAACTCATTGCCAATCTGGTCAATTAGGGAGTGTTCAAGTAGGGAGTGATAACCCTTTAGATTTTGTTTTAGTTTTTCTTTTAGTAAATTATTTAGTTAATATTCAGCATTTTCATTATTTCCATGTGTTTGTTATATATGAATTTGTCCTGGTCACGTGGTCCCTACGATGCAGAGTTGAATTGGGCGCCGATTCTAACATCGAATCGGAATTCATCATTCCCGTTTAATTAATTCCACACTCAAGTTTCCAAGGTCATATGTTACTAGTGGGGATCAAGCCCCAAGGCTGATTAATTAGCATGAACGATCCAGGCCTCGATCATTGCTCAGTGTTACTGGTCTGGTGGTGGCGGCGGAGGCGACTCTGGGGTTTTGCTCAAAGCCTATGTCACGTCATACGGGTTGTAGAATCCTAAGTCGGTCAATCGTCTTAGGACCATGTGGCGTGGAGTCGGCTTTAGTAAAAGTTTTTGGAGTCCCTTAGTAGAGAATAAAAAAGTAAGAATACGGGTAGAGAGGGAGGAAAGGAGGGAAGATCATTCGAGAACACCCTCCCCGTGTTCCAATGGTGCACAGCGATGGTTTCAACAATTTTGTTTGAAATTGTTGAAAGGCTCACGCGTCTAGCCATTCGAACACGTGCGTGGATGCTAAGGAGACAGCCGCGGGCCAGGATTAGCAGTGCGCCTCACAACAGTGCGTTTGAGTGTGGAATGGCGAATCTTTGGTTCATGCGGGCTGATATGATTAGGGTTTAGTTAATAAGATTAGGCTGTTAAGATTTATTGAATAGGAGACCGCTCCGAGTTGATTGGACTGGGTACCATACTCGACCCATTACAATTAATTCAGAGGTGTTGGGAGCCACCATACTCTCAACAGCAGTTCCTTGTGGGCTGTCTGGGCGGATATATCTGTGGGACGCCAGGAGATAGTCCGAGGGCGTTGTTAGACGACCCAAAACGCTAGGAAAAACGCAAATCCGTGAAAGGCGTTGCGGCCTCCGAGGGACGGACTAGTAACCTACCTAGCAGCGATTAAACAACTAAGTGATCGCACACTTAGTGGAGGTTGAGTCGTCTCTAATCTTAATTGTTGCTGAAAGCTGCGTGTCGCTCTGTTAGAACCTAGATGGTCGAGACCCCTAGGCTAGGTGTGGTACGGCGAGCCGATAGGAGCAATTATAAGATTAAGTCGAGTGTATCTTTGAATTAAGTATACTAAATTTATAAAGTAATTCCGTTTATTTGCGTTGTTCTAGAGATTAATTTTGGATTCCCCTAAATTCAATCCCCGGTTAAAATTTTTCTCCAAGTGTTAGTATTTTCTTGTATATTAGGCTAAGTGCGTACATTAAGCTTTGCTATTCCCTGTTGTATTAGTCTAAGTCAGAGGCGTGGTTCTAGAGCGTAGTTAATCCTCTGGACTTAGGGCTATAGGTAAGTGAAGGAGTTTGTTAAGGGATAGTAATTTTCGTGTAAATGTTTAATAGAGCTTATGGAAATATTTCTAAGTATTTCGGGATAAGTTTTCGGCTAAGTCAACGTCGGAAAGTCGTTAACTGTAATTAATTTGTATTCGTGGGTCACGTATATGATCTGGGCGTCATTAGGATTCCCCAGTCGATGCGAGTGATATTTTTCTTGTTTTACCAGTAAGACGGTAGAATTGTGTTTTTAGACTTAGAATTCTGTTTCAGTAGAAACGCAGGTCGAAAATTTTCTAAGTCCAGCTTGGGCTAGAATCGTACATTTTTGGCGAAAATTCGAATTTTCATGTTTCGTGTATATTCTAGGGTCAGTATTACTCTCTAATGCGCGCAAGGGACGTAATTCTGTTCTTAAGCATTAAACAGTGATAATTACATTTTTGCCGAATTTAGTTAGTTTTTCGAGAAAATTGTGTTGTAATTTTGTTAGAGTCCACTTGAGGTGAAAATCTTGGATTTTGACGAAAATTCGAATTAGTGAGTGTTGAAACCGCCCGATGTGTCAGCATTGTTCTGTATACAACGTCAGTATTAATTAACAGCGTATTTACATCTGTGAACGAAAAAACCATTTTTGCGAATTAAAGGAGTTTTGTGATATTTGGGGTGATAGAATTTTTTCCCTCGGAGTCCGAAAATTGGCAGAGCCCAGTAGTTAAGTAAAAACGCAGTTTTCGGTGAAAATTCCAATTTTTTCAAGCAAATATATGTTCTGGGTGCCTATATTAATCGCTAGAGCGGTTTATTAACGTAAAATTAGTTATTTTCCTTCAGAACAAAATTTTGATTTTTCAGCCTTTAAGCGAAAAAGCACGGGACTTAGTTTTTCTTCAGCGCGGCTGGTACCACTCCATCAGTCATCAGTGACCATGCTGCTCACTTCAAGTGCGTTTAGTATTCTAGTACAGTAAATATTCTTTATTAATCCATCACGAGTGCTGCGCGTTAGTTGCGTTATCATTTAAATTGTTTTATATAAATTAGATTCTTTCATTTTTTTTTAACGTAAAGGACTTAGGTTTCAGGAATAGAACTGCGGGATATTTCACGGTCAGACACGAGTGCGGGGCAGACACTCATTCATCGAATTCACTTCAGTGATTCTCTCGATAAATCGGTGTATTTCCTATTTTGGGAATTTAGTAGTTTTTTCTTGGAAAAGAGTTGTGTTTTTTTTTTATTTGTGTAAGATCACGGTTGTAGTGAGTCCGGGTCGAGGGTGTACTAAAGGGTAGTTACAAGAGACATGGCACACCAGGAATCACAGGAAATGTTTAACCCAGACAGTGACCAGTCAGTGGGGACCAGTGGGAGTGGAAGTGTAGAGGACAGCACCTCGTTCAGTGGGGAGCATGGCCAGCAACCTGTTCAACGGGAACAGGGACAACCCCAGCAACAGCAGGAACTACCCCACATAACACCGATGTTGGAAGATTGCTGTCAGTTGACAGCTGAGAAATTTATGAATTTAAACATGTTGATGTTGGACACTCAAATAATTGTCAAATTTTATTAGTTAGGTTAGCTATTGTTTATGGCATGAGTTGAATTGTGGATTTGGATACTAAACCTCGTTATTTTTAACAAATTAACAAGGTTTACTATGTGCTTGTGCGTGGGGGGGTTGTAACAAACTAGGCTGGTTGTAAGAATTATCCAGAATGGTTTATCGACAAAAGAGAATGGGAAGCTGGACCCGCGTGGTGACCCGGGACCTGACCCCAGGGAATTTGCAGTGAAAATAATGGCGGACATCTTTGTTCATAGTTTTGTATAATGAACCATTCTATAGTATTCACTTATTTAGATAAATTAGCCTTTATTCATTTTGTATTAAAAATGGTATTGGATAATATTCCTGGTTATAGTACCAAGAGTATTCTAATTATTAGGAGACTTGAGTTAAGTCACCATCAGTGACGTCACGAACCAGATCTAAGTTGTAAGGCGGAGTGACCGGCGGTCATAGGTTATCAGAGTTGACATGTCCACTATTTCTCAAAGGTCAAATAGCCATTTGGTGATCGGGAACAGCTCTGCCGTCAGATGCTTGTGTAATTTAATTTCAGTAAAATAATTCAACCAGTCTGGATCAATTAAGTACAACAGAGGTTAATTGTTATAACTTAAACCTTGCTAAGTAACTTGGTAAACGATGCGGAACAATACTCTGCTCTGGGCTCCTGGAGCATCAGAGAGAGGACAGATTAGTGTGGGACCAGAGATCAACTGGGAGAGGTCAACCATCTTGCCTCTCCCCCAAGACCAGCCCCAACATCTGTGCTGGTCAACATAGAGGTATAGTTGCTATTGTTATTTATAGGGATAGTCAACTCATTGCCGATCTGGTCAATTAGGGAGTGTTCAAGTAGGGAGTGATAAACCTTTAGATTTTGTTTTAGTTTTTCTTTTAATAAATTAATTAGTTAATATTCTGCATTTTCATTATTTCCATGTGTTTGTTATATATGAATTTGTCCTGGTCACGTGGTCCCTATGAGGCAGAGTTGAATTGGGCGCCGATTCTAACATCGAGTCGGATTTCATCATTCCCGTTTAATTAATTCCACACTCAAGTTTCCAAGGTCATATGTTACTAGTGGGGATCAAGCCCCAAGGCTGATTAATTAGCATGATCGATCCAGACCTCGATCATTGCTCAGTGTTACTGGTCTGGTGGTGGCGGCGGAGGCGACTCTGGGGTTTTGCTCAAAGCCTATGTCACGTCATACGGGTTGTAGAATCCTAAGTCGGTCAATCGTCTTAGGACCATGTGGCGTGGAGTCGGCTTTAGTAAAAGTTTTTGGAGTCCCTTGGTAGAGAATAAAAAGGTAAGAATACGGGTAGAGAGGGAGGAAAGGAGGGAAGATCATTCGAGAACACCCTCCCCGTGTTACACCTGTGGCAGACTCAAACCGCAGGAGAACGTCCTGGACAGCTCCAACAAAACCCTCCGAAGCTACAAACAGAACGATGTCGTCAGCATACCCACAAATGGGTAGCCGAAGACTGCTTTTTCACAGCAGACAAGGAGGCACAATCAAGGAACACGCTTTCACCGCCCGAAAGAGAGGTCCCTGAAAAATCACATACAAAAGCATTGACATTGGACACCCCTTAAGAACGGAACGGCAAATAGGAAAGAAGGAACTAAAAACCCATTCACACAAACGCGACTGCGAATCCGGACATTCAGCAAACGGACCCAACCCACAAACACTGCCGGAAACCCAAGCCGCCCCATAGCACTAAAAACAAACTCCAAAGACACCCGATCGAAGGCCTTTGACCAGTCCAAGCTGATTATAGCCGCCGAAAGCCGATACTCGGACGCATAGAGAAGCACATCACGAAATAAAGCATTGCAATGCATCAGGACACGGCCGGACACACCACAAAACTGCTCCATAGAGACCACCGACGCACCGACACCCCGACAACGACGCGCTATAACCTTAGACAGAATTTTATAGTCAACATTCAAGAGCGTAATAAGCCTCCAATTCGAAAACAACTGCAAATAGCCCGGTTTTGGGAGCAGCCGCACGATCCCGTCAGAAAAGGAATCAGGCAAAGCACCCAACCACAAACACGCCTGCACCACCTCCAAAAGCACCTCCCGCAACACATCCTAAAAGGTAAGGTAGAACTCAATGGGCAGGCCATCCACACCCGGCACTCTCCCTGAACGAAATGACCGAACCACCTCCAGTAGCTCCACAATCGAAACATCCTGCACCAACCGGGTACACTCCACTTGCGACAAACCGGGGAAGCACCTGTCCAAAAAGGAACCCGTGAGCACACTATCCCCACGCACCTTCCCATAGAGCGCCTCCAACTCCCGCCACGCGGTAAGCAGAACACCCTCCATGCTAGAAAGCACAGACCCATCTGGCTGCCGAAGGCCCTTGAGAAGAATGGAACCCCGAGCAGCCTTCTCCCTCCTTAAAAGAAAGGGAGAGAGCCTCTTCCCATCTACACGCTCAGCCACACGAGCACGCACACGAACACCATCAGCCAACACCACACGCAAATTACAAATACGCTCCTTACACTCAGAAATCGCACTAAAGCAGTCAACCCCAGCATTCAACTGCACATATAAACAAGACAAACGTGCCTGAAGTAACCACAGCAGACCACACCAAACCTCCCGGCTGCCTCCCGCTTAGCAACAATCCCAAAAAACCTCCGACACTACACCTTACACCACTCCCACCAAACGAACAAAGAGGAGAAATCAGCCTTCTGGGCAACGATGCCAACCCACCAGGCCCGAAACTGCGCACAAATACGTGGACAACGCAATAACCGACAATTTAGCTTCCACCACCCAGGCCGCACCTGACTCCGGACACCAACCCGGACAACCACCAAACAATGATCCAAGAAGGCCACCGGGACCGTGCAAAAATACAAAACCGAACACTCCCCACCAGAAACATAGAACCTATCCAACCTAAAACTCACCCCACGCACAGCGAAGGTATATTCCAACGAGCCGCCACACAAAACAGCCGCATCGCAAAACCCACACGCACGCAAAACCTCAATTAAAGTGGCCGAAACATTTCGAGGGTGAGTACTAGAGCAATCCCGCACACACGTAACACAATTAAAATCCCCCCCCAAAGATCAAATCCCACATATCATGCCACAGGTATGGCAGAAGCCCCTCCCAAAAAAACAGCTCCCAGTCTTGACGATGCGCCACCCCAGAAGGGGTGTATACCGTCAAGAACGGAATCACAACTCCAGAAATACTCAGCCCGAACAAACAAGGCCCGCCGCTCTTCATCCATTTCCGTGTGAAGCACGGAAATAGACGCCTTCCGCGAAAACAACATCAGCGTCCCTCCAAAGGACGTCCTCGGCGGGTTCAGCACAACATGATACTCAGCACACAACCCCTGCAAAACAGACACATCCCGAACATTGTGCTCCTGGATCATAGCCACATCCACACGCTGCTCTTGAAGCACATCCACAAGGCCCAATTGGACCGTCAGAGCATTCAGACCACGAGCATTCAAAGACGCACAAACAATAGCAGGAGCCATCGAACCCATCAATGACCCCCAGCCCCTCCAGGCTCACCAGGGGGCACAGTGCCACCCACCGCAGAGGCGTCGTCAGCATCCCGAGGCTCAACTTGCCGTTTTGGTGGATTCCCCGGCGGTGGGGCGCCGGGCCTCTGATCCCTCAGGAAGTGGACAGTGTCGGCATCACCCTGCGAAGCACGCCGAGACCCTGCCGCCACTGACCAGGTATCACCAACGTCCACTGTTACATCCCTATTGGGTTGCAACTGGGTTCTTCTCTGATGTTATTAGAGTTTGGGTATCCGGCCCCAAGTTAGTAGTGGCTTTCAAGGGGTGTGTTCCATAACGCAAGTAAATTAAAGGGGAAGGGATACAAATGAACTGCTTTTGTATATATAATCACCACCACCATGAATAAATATATATAATGTCACAAGGGGGGTATAAATACACAATGTACAGAATCGTCTTCATCTGAAGACACGGGATGCTCCACGGTGCTCAAGATGAGTAGCCCTGGTTCTCTTCGTCGTGGCCTACGATGAATCCTTTGATTCTCTCGGCAAATCTGCCTCGGCCACAGGCCAGCCAAATCACAGTCCCACTGGGTGCACTGTCGTGGAGGCCTTCAACCACAAATCCAGCCTGTAGCTGGCAGGTTCCGATCAGCTGCGCTGTGTAGGCCACTCCACGATCGATACTAGGGTTGCGAGCCCAGGCAGGAGCCTGGTGTGATTCCACAGATCACTCTCCTCACCACAGTGGCTAGTCTCTTCCACCAGCCAGCCCCCAGATACGACGATTCCTGGTACTGCCACGTCACAGGCAGGCTAACACACTCAACAGTGTTCGTCCGGGGGTGACTCACAGCTTCTGCAGCAAACACGTGGAGAGACTATGGCTGCCTTGGGTAGACTGCCCATCGTCCGATACAGCAGTCCCAGGTCGACTCTGTAATCAGACACGTCATTAGTACTAGGGACATTCTAGGGCACCTCACTTACAGACTTAGACACAAACGTCCACCTATCCACTCCATAGATAGCGTTGCTGTCTAAGCGCTACCTCACCAGAGGTCAGCAGTGGCTACGTTACGAGCTGATTAAGACGGGAAACCAGCCCCTGTGGCCGGTATATCCCGTCCTCGCTAGATGGCGCTGTCCATTTGGAGGGGGTTTCGGGAGCAGACTCACAGAGGCGATGTCGTCACTGCTCCATGCTCGGACGCTGGACTCGGGTCCGTAACACCTCCCCACCAAGAAGAATTTGGTTTGGGTTTCTAAAAAAAAAAAAAAAAAAAATTAGTACATGGGTACACTTCCAAACGGACTCACGTACATTATAAACTGGAACGGCGAGGATGTCTTGTCCGCAAAACTGTCCTAAGGAGAAACCCTGGCACAAAGGGAACTTGAAGATGGAAAGCAATGATCTGCCTGATGTGACTTCCCACACATCCACGGAGGTGTCAAGCAGGGGCATAATCTCACGTGTACCGAGTAAGAATTGGTAGAGACACGATCTGGGGCGACTCGACACTTCCCTGTGTCGTGGCACCGATGATGGCTGGTCACAGACGGCATTTCTGGTACCGGTCTGGTAGTCCTTCAGGGGGACGGGAATCTGGAATACAGGGGTCTGATAATTTAGAGTGACAGCGATAGTTAAATCAGTACTCACAGCACCACCGTTTACTAGGCCCACACCTAGTCCAAACAGAGCGGCTTGTACAACGAAGATGGTGTTCGCTCTGCCACCGTCAGGTCGACCAACGTTCCATATAACGCTGCATCTAGGCTCAGCCATCACGCGGGGGGTGTCAACCTGTCGGAAACAGTCACTCATAATATCACCTCTCGTACCTCCTGTATCTACCATCACCTTCCAGGTCCCTTCTTCGACTGCAACATTCATATTGCACGTCTCTAATCCCTGGGATCTCTTTGCGATGTTTATGGGAGCCATCATCCGTCGGGTCGTCCACTGGTCCTTACTGAGAACACACACGAGAACAAAAAATACCGCTAGGAAACATTTGGTTAACTTAGGGACAAGTTTCATGAACTTGTCATGTCCATAGCCGGCTATATCCATTAGCCTGGTTTGGACCAAAGAGGGCACTAGAACTTTCGCACATACCTCACATACCTCCGACGTCTGGGGAATCTCTGGCCGGTTCAATGAACGTTGTACCTTGCCATACCACAAGTCCTCAGGTGCCTTCCCTCCAGACTCTGGGGAATCCGTGGGTGTTTGTACACGAGGCCTCTCTTCTCGCTCAGTCGCTTCTGCCATCATAACCTCATGCTTCTTGTCGGGAGAAGAATCAGGAGACTCTGCTAGAGTGCTGTCGATCTGTGGGTGAGAGGAAGGATTAAACACGTTATCTAATTCCATGTCTGTCTGTACTTGGATATTACCAATGCCTGCTGTTACCTCGGTCCTTGCTGTTCCGGCTGACTCGTCCACAATCTTGGGTTGATTGTTGCTCCAATCTGTCACCAAGTCGTTGGCTAGTATCACGTCAATCCCAGCTATAGGTAGGGTATCAACTACTGCCAACGCACATGTGCCGCTGAAGTCAGGTGAGTCTAGATGTACCGGCACTAAGGGGGCAACGTACCGCGTCCTAGGAAACCCAACCAGGATAACCTTTTGTCTCCCGTCCACACTCACTCCCTCGGGTAATGAGTTTCTCACGATCAGGGACTGGGCTGCTCCACTATCTCTGAGCACTACAACTGATCTACCAGTATGATCACTCTATACATACCCGCCTGAAGTGTGAGGGGAAAACAATCTTGGTTCTTCCTGACTAGTCATAGACTGGCTTCCTACTGATGGTGTCACACAGCTCATCAACATCACCTCCCCACGTGGGCCGCTACCTCTTCTGCCTCGGCACATAGCAGCTACCTGCCCTTTCTGCCCACAAGTCTAACACACCATATTCCTCCTCGGACTCCGGTGTTTCGGACTGTTAGGACTGGTCCTTCGAGGGCTACTTGGGGGCGTCTTCATAGCGCTTTGTGGGACGGGTCTCTCCTCTTCCTGACGAGGCTTGCCAAACAGACGTGGGTAATTCCCCGGGACATACCTAGTGGAAGACCTATGTGTCAAGATGTATTCCTCAGCCATGGTGGCTGCCGCACTCAAGGTCTTCACCTGCTGCTCTTCTAGGTACGTCTTTAGATCTTCAGACAGACAGTCTTTGAAGTCCTCCAACAATATGAGCTGCTCGAGGTCTTCTTTGGTCTCCACCTTCCGAGAGGCACACCACTCCTGGAAAAGCCGTTCCTTGATGGTCGCGAATTCGGTGAACGTGTGCTCCGAGGCCTTTTTCAGGTTCCTGAACTTCTGCCTGTAAGCCTCAGGTACCAATTGGTACGCCATGAGCACTACCTTCTTCACCATGTCGTAATCGCCGGAGTCAAGGGACAACGTGGAGTAGGCGATTTGGGCCTTCCCAGTTAAATCGGACTGTATCATGATGGCCCAATTCTCCTTTGGCCACTCCAAAGAGGCTGCGACTTTCTCGAAGGCTGCGAAGAACTTCGACACTTCCTTCTCATTGAATTTTGGGACCATTTTGA